TTTCGACAACTGGAAACTTAGTGCTTTGTTGTCGACAGTTGTAAACTCTGACATTTGCTGTCAACAACGGTTATCTCGGTACTTTGTTTTCGACAACTGGAAACTTAGTGTTTTGTTGTCGACAGTTGCAAACTCTGATTTTTGCTGTCAACAACGGTTATCTCGGTACTTTGTTTTCGACAACTGGAAACTTAGTGCTTTGTTGTCGACAGTTGTAAACTCTGATTTTTGCTGTCAACAGCGGTTATCTCGGTACTTTGTTTTCCACAATTGGAAATTTAGTGCTTTGTTGTCGACAGTTGTAAACTCTGATTTTTGCTGTCAACAACGGTTATCTCGGTACTTTGTTTTCGACAACTGGAAATTTAGTGCTTTGTTGTCGACAGTTGTAAACTCTGATTTTTGCTGTCAACAAGGGTTATCTCGGTACTTTGTTTTCGACAACTGGAAATTTAGTGCTTTGTTGTCGACAGTTGTAAACTCTGATTTTTGCTGTCAACAACGGTTATCTCGGTACTTTGTTTTCGACAACTGGAAACTTAGTGCTTTGTTGTCGACAGTTGTAAACTCTGACATTTGCTGTCAACAACGGTTATCTCGGTACTTTGTTTTCGACAACTGGAAACTTAGTGTTTTGTTGTCGACAGTTGCAAACTCTGATTTTTGCTGTCAACAACGGTTATCTCGGTACTTTGTTTTCGACAACTGGAAACTTAGTGTTTTGTTGTCGACAGTTGCAAACTCTGATTTTTGCTGTCGACAACGGTTATCTCGGTACTTTGTTTTCGACAACTGGAAACTTAGTGTTTTGTTGTCGACAGTTGCAAACTCTGATTTTTGCTGTCAACAACGGTTATCTCGGTACTTTGTTTTCGACAACTGGATATTTAGTGCTTTGTTGTCGACAGTTGTAAACTCTGATTTTTGCTGTCAACAACGGTTATCTCGGTACTTTGTTTTCGACAACTGGAAATTTAGTGCTTTGTTGTCGACAGTTGTAAACTCTGATTTTTGCTGTAAACAAGGGTTATCTCGGTACTTTGTTTTCGACAACTGGAAACTTAGTGTTTTGTTGTCGACAGTTGTAAACTCTGATTTTTGCTGTCAACAACGGTTATCTCGGTACTTTGTTTTCGACAATTGGAAATTTAGTGCTTTGTTGTCGACAGTTGTAAACTCTGATTTTTGCTGTCAACAAGGGTTATCTCGGTATTTTGTTTTCCACAAACTGGAAATTTAGTGTTTTGTTGTCGACAGTTATAAACTCTGATTTTGCTGTCAACAACGGTTATCTCGGTATTTTGTTTTCGACAACTGGAAATTTAGTGCTTTGTTGTCGACAGTGATAAACTCTGATTTTTGCTGTCAACAACGGTTATCTCGGTACTTTGTTTTCGACAAATGGAAATTTAGTGCTTTGTTGTCGACAGTTGTAAACTCTGATTTTTGCTGTCAACAACGGTTATCTCGGTACTTTGTTTTCGACAACTGGAAATTTAGTGCTTTGTTGTCAACAGTTATAAACTCTGATTTTGCTGTCAACAACGGTTATCTCGGTATTTTGTTTTCGAAAACTGGAAATTTAGTGCTTTGTTGTCAACAGTTATAAACTCTGATTTTGCTGTCAACAAGGGTTATCTCGGTATTTTGTTTTCGACAGCTGAGAACTTAGTGCTTTGTTGTCGACAGTTATAAACTCTGATTTTTGCTGTCAACAACGGTTATCTCGGTACTTTGTTTTCGACAACTGGAAACTTAGTGTTTTGTTGTCGACAGTTGCAAACTCTGATTTTTGCTGTCGACAACGGTTATCTCGGTACTTTGTTTTCGACAACTGGAAACTTAGTGTTTTGTTGTCGACAGTTGCAAACTCTGATTTTTGCTGTCAACAACGGTTATCTCGGTACTTTGTTTTCGACAACTGGAAACTTAGTGTTTTGTTGTCGACAGTTGCAAACTCTGATTTTTGCTGTCAACAACGGTTATCTCGGTACTTTGTTTTCGACAAACTGGAAACTTAGTGCTTGTTGTCGACAGTTTGTAAACTCTGATTTTTGCTGTCAACAACGTTATCTCGGTACTTTTTGTTTTTCCGACAACTGAAATTTAGTGCTTGTTGTCAAACAGTTTATAATCACTGCTGAATTTTGGCCTGTCAACAAGGGTTATCTCGTATTTTTTTGTTTTCGAAAAACCTGGAGATTTAGTGTTTTGTTTGTCGACCAGTTGCATAACTCTGATTTTTGCTGTCAACAAGGGTTATCTCGGTATTTTGTTTTCCACAAACTGGAAATTTAGTGTTTTGTTGTCGACAGTTATAAACTCTGATTTTGCTGTCAACAACGGTTATCTCGGTATTTTGTTTTCGACAACTGGAAATTTAGTGCTTTGTTGTCGACAGTTATAAACTCTGATTTTTGCTGTCAACAACGGTTATCTCGGTACTTTGTTTTCGACAAATGGAAATTTAGTGCTTTGTTGTCGACAGTTGTAAACTCTGATTTTTGCTGTCAACAACGGTTATCTCGGTACTTTGTTTTCGACAACTGGAAATTTAGTGCTTTGTTGTCAACAGTTATAAACTCTGATTTTGCTGTCAACAAGGGTTATCTCGGTATTTTGTTTTCGAAAACTGAAAACTTAGTGTTTTGTTGTCGACAGTTGTAAACTCTGACCTTTGCTGTCAACAACGGTTATCTCGGTATTTTGTTTTCGACAACTGGAAATTTAGTGCTTTGTTGTCGACAGTTGTAAACTCTGACCTTTGCTGTCAACAACGGTTATCTCGGTACTTTGTTTTTGACAACTGGAAACTTAGTGTTTTGTTGTCGACAGTTGTAAACTCTGATTTTTGCTGTCAACAACGGTTATCTCGGTATTTTGTTTTCGACAACTGGAAATTTAGTGCTTTGTTGTCGACAGTTGTAAACTCTGATTTTTGCTGTCAACAACGGTTATCTCGGTACTTTGTTTTCGAAAACTGGAAATTTAGTGTTTTGTTGTCGACAGTTGTAAACTCTGATTTTGCTGTCAACAAGGGTCATCTCGGTACTTTGTTTTCGACAACTGGAAACTTAGTGTTTTGTTGTCAACAGTTATAAACTCTGATTTTGCTGTCAACAAGGGTTATCTCGGTATTTTGTTTTCGACAGCTGAGAACTTAGTGCTTTGTTGTCGACAGTTATAAACTCTGATTTTTGCTGTCAACAACGGTTATCTCGGTACTTTGTTTTCGAAAACTGGAAATTTAGTGCTTTGTTGTCGACAGTTATAAACTCTGATTTTGCTGTCAACAAGGGTCATCTCGGTACTTTGTTTTCGACAACTGGAAACTTAGTGTTTTGTTGTCAACAGTTATAAACTCTGATTTTGCTGTCAACAAGGGTTATCTCGGTATTTTGTTTTCGACAACTGGAAACTTAGTGTTTCGTTGTCGACAGTTGTAAACTCTGATTTTTGCTGTCAACAACGGTTATCTCGGTATTTTGTTTTCCACAAACTGGAAATTTAGTGCTTTGTTGTCGACAGTTGTAAACTCTGATTTTTGCTGTAAACAGGGCCGTCGCTAAGCACTTTCACTTAGGGTGGTGCCAGTCACCAATTTGCCGACAAAATAGGGCGTGGCCTAAGATATTTCAATGTGGGGGTGTGGCATTTTGACGCAATTGATTTTGTTTATCAAAGAGGATGTTCTCGTTAGTCAATCGTCGCTTCAAATTTCGAGTGACTGTGGGTACTTAGGTTTGGAAGGCCTTGAAACAAAACCGGAAGACGAGGTCTCCATGCGAGCGGAGCGAGCAAGAAATTTTCGCTACCACGCCCTTTAGATTATTGCACTTAGATTAGCACTTAGATTATAGAACATTTCATGCAGTCATTTCTTGCAATCGTTTAGAACTTTTAACTATTTTTAGGCATACCTACGTCTCATTGATTTTATTCTTCAAATGGAGTTCATTAATACTTGAGGCCCCCTCGGCCTCAATGCCCTGAGGCACTTCGCCCCCTTTCCCTGCTTACAGTGGCTTCTAGTACCTCCAGGATCATAGTTCAGAGTTTTTCAAAAACTTTGACCCATCCCTAAACCCCAAACTTTGGGTAGAAATTAGGTCGCCCTGGATTTTTGGGGGACATTTACCCCTCCGTGACACCCATAGCGCTATCTTTTCCTGTTTTGAATTGCTGAGGGCTTTTGGGCAATACTTCTAAGTTCACTTTGGGCATAAAGGCTTTTGGGCAATCCTTTTTTATCATGAGTTATTGATATTTTTAACTACTAGTCATTGAGAAAAACAGAAAAGTTTGAACCTTTTTTATCATTTTTTTGCTGGCTTTTTGTTAATTTACAGTATAATGTTTACCTCGTATCATAATATTTCTTTGTACATTTTCTCTTTAATTCCTAAATGCAAAATTTATCGTTGTGACGGATAATCTTTTTACCTAAAGATATATTTTTCTGCTAATTCTGCTACATGTATGTTTTGTGTTGCTGTTTTAGTATTTCTGTTGGGTGACGTACTGTATTCGCCAATTAACATGTTTTCATTTGCAATTTGGGCTTTTTGCAACTTTGATCATGAATCATTCCGTGTTTGCTTCAACCTTAGATGCAATTTTTCGACCAGAAGAAAATGTTCTTTAAGAAAAAGTTAGTATATTCGCATCGACATCGTTCGAAAATAAACTGTCTTTAAGAGCTACTTGCATTTACTGCTAATTTAGTGAACCCATTGGCAGGGGCGGACTGGCACTTAACTTCAGGGGTTTTCTGGGGTGGCTTTGTGGCTTTGAAAAGACCCGTAGGTGTGGTTAGGCCTGAAGTAGGTTTGGTCATTTAAAAGGCCCAATTCACATACTCTTAAAATTGATGTTGATTTGCATAATGTCTATCGGTTCCAGAGAATTCAGGCGGGATAGCAATTGTTTCCAATCAGCAAAGTTTAAGTTTATCTTTATGGATTTGTGAATAAAATTTCATTTTATGAAGGGCCCACTATTTAAAATTCTGTGGGGCCCGGGTGGCAATCGCCAGCTAGACACAAGGGCCAGTCTGCCACTGCTTTTTTAATATTATTTATGAAATAGACAACCATTGCTTCTTTAGGATACACCAAGGTGCCGGACAGAAACAAGTTCCGAAAAGTGCCCTTTCAATGAAGCTTGCGATGAGGTGTGCGAAAATCCAGTTGGCCATAAATGCCGAACATTAGGTGAGTTATCATTTCATAATGTAATTTTCTTCCTCAATTTGGTTTATTTTGTTTTCAGCGTCAAGTTTCATTGCATTGTCTAAAAAGCTTTCTTTTTTAAATACTTCAGCTTTGTTGCTATTTGTAGGTAGCTTTCGTTCAAAACCACTTCATTAAAGGCATTGAGTCATGGTAAGTAGGCCTTCTCTATAGGTTTGGTTTCGGCGTGATCGCTGCTGTTCCATGTGATATTTGCATCCGTTGTTGACAACTTGCTATTGATGGAAATTGTTTTGTCAATCAGTACGAGGTGAATTCATGTGACCAGTTCCAGGACAACCAATAGCATCGCAGTCATGAAAATCATGACACAGCGGATTTTATCATGACTCAATGCCTTTAAAGCTTGGTTTCCACTATGGGTTAACGTGAGATAATTCTGAGCTAAATTGAAAATTAACTCATGGTCTAAATTCAAGTTAACTTGAGATAGTGTGAAATAGCGTGAGATAACGCGAGCTATCTCAAAATTAACCCATGTACCGATTCGGTTTCCACTTGAGATAGAATTAAGTATTGAAATTTCAGAAATCACATTTTATTTGAATCTTGCAGCTATGGCGGGCGTCTTACAAGAACTTCCACTCACTTCCACGAATATATCACTTCCAGACAGATTTTGGACAAAATTTCACCTTATATAACGAATCAAAGCATTTTCTCGCTTTACTTTTGATCCACACCTGGATAGAACTTCTTTGCCAATTTGTTGGCATTATCTGATGTTTATACTCTGAAAAGGGTCGTACGAAAAGTACTCAAGCATACTATGTGTCTGCTAATTTGCACTATCTTTAAATTCTATCGTACCAAAAAACTATTTAGATATTGAATTATAAATCGCAGCTTTTAATATGGAATTTCAGAAAAGGTTTAATGTGCAGTTTAAGAGTCAAGAAACTCAGACAATCTTAAAACGCTTAAAACATTCTATATTTAGTATCAGACTCTTGTCTTTAAGAACCTTGTATAACATTGATCAGTAAAAACATTGAGTAATCTTTTTCTTTAAGAAAACATCGCACTAAGGAAAGCAACAACTCAGTCATCGACATGCTCTGGAGGCTATTCAGATAAAGTTGTGGATGGAAATCTTGACACAAACTTTAAGCACGGCTCATGTAGTCACACATGTGGTGGATTGGTAGATTGGTGGCGGGTGGATTTTGGAAAAAGTTCATTAGTGCACTCAGTACAAATCACAAACAGAGGTGAGGCTATGGTTATCTTGAAAACATGGCATACGGCATAGGCGAATCCAGAAAATTTTCGACTGTCGCACAAAAGGCGTGGCAAATAAAAAAGGGCGTATCTTGAGAAAGGTGTGGCTGAATTAACTTTTTGCAAACTGCAAACGAAACTGCAATACCAAACATACAGGTCTAATTATATAAAACGCTAGAAAAGGGAAAGCCACTGTAAACAACAACAACGATGACATTTGTCTCGCGATTCTGGCACAATACCAACATGGTTGAACACGAGCCTAAGTTCAATTAGCAGACAAAGAAATATTTGCCGTCTAAATTTTCGCTTAAGTTTATCCAAATAAATACAAATAAATCGAACTTACTTTAGAGTACCATCTTTGTTAGCCCCCCAATAAACATTACAGAGTAAATGCCAAATTTCCAATCCTCCGTCAAAATATTTCCAGGAGTCTTTTTTCACTTGGGCAAGTAAAAGCTAATTCAATTCTATTTTTCTTGCTATTTGGCCATTGCATACCCTGGTCATTTCTGTCACCACTTTTATTTAATATTTAAGCAAAATTCTAACAATTCTGCCATTTGCCCTTGTTCAGCTTCAATCAAGAAGCAAGCAATCCAATTTATAGCCTTCCCACTAAAGCCATCCGTTGAGAAGTTGACTGTCGTATGTGCGAACAGTGCGAGCATCTGAATCCGCTCCTGGAATACGGAATGTTGCAATACTGGAATGTTGGAATGTGTTTTCTAAAACTTATATAACTGCATGCTAGCAAGTGCAACTAATTTGAGGTCCTTGATATGAAAGCAAATTGTAAAGGAAGGTACTGTAGCTTCTAGAAAACGCTATAATGCTCGCTGTAAAAAGACTGGTCACTAGAAAATTAATATAACAAAATGAGAAACTTAAAATGAAGGCTCTAATTGCTGGAATAAGTGATAAGAACGAGGTTGAAAAATTATTGGTGAATCCACTTTCTCGAACTGTCGAGAGAAATTAATGTTTTATTCTCGAAATAGTGAATGCTCGAAATAATTTTCCAGCCACCAAATTCCCAATTCTGTTCTAATTTACTATTTTCTTAAAGATTAATTATCATGAACAGAAGGGGAGGGGGGGCTGAATACTACTGTATACATCTATCTACAGTTCCTATGTATCTGTTTTTTTAGGCGATTGCTGCGGCGAACGACTTTCAAATTTCAACATCAGAATTGGCAACAGTACGACAGGGATGGGGAATGACAATCCTCTATGTGCTGTCAATCAAGGAATTTCTCAAGGGGCAACGAAAACATTTCTTTGCAGACCGCGCATCTATGGCAGACACCTCTACGTGCAGTCAAACATAGAACCCGAATTATGTCTTTGTGAAGTTAAAGTGTTTGGAGAATTGTAAACACTATATTTCTCTCCTTTTATATGCTCTTATCAAGTTGTGCATTGACCTTCCTCAAAATTGCTACAACGTTGTATAAACTTTGTTCTAATGTAAGTTTAGCCATTACAGTCATTGAGCTTAAATAACATTAACTATGGGTTTAAGCTGATCATGCAGCTAAATGACATACTTTTTCGATTTAGTTCTAGTCGCAATTGATTGCATTTGCTTATAGCACATTGATAAAGTAGTGTAGTGGAGGGTTAACGCTCCCTCAAACTTTTGAACAGATAGTGATGTTGATCCTCTTAGATCGTAGCACATTGCTAGATACCAAACAATTTTGCATCTGATTTGATTCTGATACTTTTTCACCAATGGCTCGATTTCTGGGGTGTCCACTCTCAATCAGGGGTGTACCCAAATTGTTGTTTTCCTCAAACCTAAGACAGCGAGACTTAAAAAAAGGCAACCTTTGGAATTCGGAAAATTCAATAGGGTTTTTTAACCCAATCTAGGCCAAGATTCCTTTTTGTTGATTATATGACAACATCATATAAAAAACCAAGTGCTTACATGTGTTTTGTCCATTGATATAGTTATGAAACCCAAAGATTCCTTAGAAGTAGCACCATCTCAATTTGATTCAATATTCAATACAACATTTGGAAGATAATACCTTTGCTTTGTAAAAGTTCATTTGCAACTTATAACAGAAATGTTGGCAGTTGTCTTTCACTATGTTTTCCTTTTTAACTGATCACAAACCTGATAAAGAAAGAATCATACAGCTAGACTTAAGCTTTCCTCAATTAGCACAGTTTTAGACTAAGTAGTGTGACAGAATCATAAAGTAGATGAGCAGGAAATACTCTTCATTTTGGTTTTTGTACAAAGTTTATTGTTATGTAGCATAATAAGTCAGTGAAAAGGGTATAAAAAATTGACATATAACTCAGAGAAAAAGTGTTTTTGGATCTCTTGGAACAGCTTGGTATATCACTGAATGGGAGTGGACATACCGGGGTTTGATTGAGTTTGAAACTGGTGATATCATTTCAAGTCATATGGAGGTGTCACTATAACAATCTTGACAAGCTTTTGCACGATGGGCATGCATCGTTCAGAGGTTCTATCGTTGATAGTTGCACGTGATCAAAAATAATTAATGTTCATGTTTTCAATGTTTATTTAGTATAACTTTCGTCTCTCTGAAGAAAACAGTAAAACGCTGATTTTGTTTTCAACTTTTGCGTTATACTTTCTAAGATTTCATGACTACACTACATAAGTTGATATGTTTATGAATAGAAATCTTCGTAGGTGTCAAGTTCAAGATTTCTGTTATCATATATGTCCGTTGTACCCGCAAAGCCGCCATGATTCTTTTTAATTTTTTCTCAACAATATTACTGTGACTAGTATAAAAAATAAATGTAAAAAAATAAATCTTTATAATCCCTTAAAGCCATGATTATTTTTCTTTTACATGTGTGATATCCTAACTAAGAAGACAAGTTTTATTTGACAGAAACAGCTTCACTAGAGTCCAGATTTCTTGGTTCGGGAAAAAGCTCTGTTGAGTAGTTCTTTGAAGTGATCGCTGACAGGTACGTGTAAGGTCAGGTATTCGCACTTTGTCACAATTATGGCCTAGCCTTTATTGTCTTTACCAGTCTATAGCTCTGTTTACAGAGTGAAATTTAACCCAGGATTGACTTGGGTTAAAATAGCACATATTCATTTTTCTGTGTGAATACAACTAGCTTGTGCTCCATCTGGGTTAAGAGAAACAGTGGTGATTTCTAAAAAGTGTAACAAGGGGGCTCTAGGGGCAACGTCATGAAAGGGGTGTGGTTTTTTCTGACCACGCCCATATTCTCGTCGATTTAAATCTGATAACCAGTGCTTAAGCAAACCAAACCGTCTAGAAAACAATGACAAATGTCTGAATAAACATTAAAAATTGCAAGATAACATCATAATAAAACTTGCACAGAACATTTATACTGAATTTGTAAGAGTTATATCGTAAACATTTATATTTATATTTTATTTTATCAGAGTTATATTTTAAAAAGCACAACTAATGCAAATTGCCCCCCCCCCAAAATTTTAGAACAATTTCAACAAAGGGGGCTCTGCCAACATGAGCCCCCCTAGAAATCATCCCTGAAGAAAAACCTTCCTCCTACAAATGAGTTCGACCCGGGTCGATCTCGATCTCGACATGTGATGTAGCTCTAGCAATCTTCAGTTCAGCAGCAAAACAATTGAAGAGCAGCGCACAGAAAAGGTCCAAGAAAGAATGCATTTTTTTCAAACGATGACAAGAAAATTGCACACTCTTGGGGCCTTAGAAAATTAGTATGTCAATGAGAACTGTAAGACTTCGAGTCGCAAGTGGTTTTCAAAAGAGGGGACAGGACTGTCACGATTTTCTTGGCAAGCAAAAGAAGAAATGCAACTTGTGTTGGCATTAGATCAAAGTGGTTTTCGTAATAATAAATCCCAAACTTCCTGCGCAAAATATAGTTTTAAGCACGCTTTATTCGGAAAATGCAGAGAACGAAATTACTTTGCAGATGATCACCAAAGTTTCAAGGAAATCTTTGTTATTAAAAAGATTGTTTAATATCAAATTAGGATATATAAAAAATTCATGCAGTTGTATAGAAAATTGGTTTGGTGAAAGCATCTGCAAGTTGGCTCCATCTGTTGCCGTAGAAAATCAAAGAGATGAGCTTAACTCCGTTGAGCAAAATTATTCTCAGCTGAAAAGAAACAGTATTGCTAAATGCAAAACTGAAGGAAAACTATACAGAAGATGAAGAACGAAAACACGTTACAAAGCAGTTCAAATTTGTTTGCAAGAACAGTTCAAAGTGCGCTATCGAAATTTAGACAGTACGAGCGGGCCTAAAACAATCCTTGCTTGTTTTAAAAGGTCTTGTGCCCATTCTCAATCACTCAAGTCAACAGCAAAAGTTTTTTTTCCAGCGATAAAGAAGCTAAAGTATCTTTTAGGAAGCACTGCGAGAGAACATATGCTTTAAGTTTCAATGCTCAGGAGTTTCAATAATGTAATGTTAAAACAGTTTTGAAAAACGAAAACATTATTGATCGTCTGAAATAGCAAAATTACTTTTGTAAAGAAAAAAATGGAATCAAAATCAGGCAGAATGTTTGTTATTCTATGTCAAATTTTTTTTAGAGTGATTAGTACTAATGTGTAGTCAATAGTTCAATTTTGCTATGTTATTTTGTTTAGTAATTGATAGGTTATGATGAAATGATCACTTGACAACGGCTCACACCGGCCAGAGCCCCATTCAGATCTTCTTGGCCGGTTAAAAGATCGGTGCCAGCCCACCACCACTGCTCAAAGTTTGCAACATCAAAACTGGAAAATTCGAAACCAAAACGAGCTGACCGTAGCGAAGAGAGAATGTCCAAGCGAAATCTAGTTGGATTTCATTATCAAGAAGCATGCATCTACTGTTCCCTGTCTTCCGAAACCCTCAACAGTTGCTCAACCAAACCATTTGATTGCCAACTTAGAAAGATGGCACCTGATTTAGAAGACACTGCTCTTCTGTCTAGGATTATCCCCCCCCCCCCCTAAAATCCAGATTAGCTGAATGTTTAATCGGATTCTTCGAAACAAAAGTTATTTTCAAACGTACTTCCACCTGAAGAAAACAAGATGAAATGCAGAAAATGAATGCTACAATTACAATTATGTTATTATCATGAACGACTTGTCAATAGTGTGATCGGTCGACCTCTTGTATCATCAATTGCCTTAGATGAGATATTGATCGTGATGTCTATTATGTTCTGTGTTGTGTCGCAGGTAGTATACAAATGTACGTTTAGTAGGAACGTAACAAAAAATATGGTTCTCTCATTAGCTAATTATTCTTATTTATGCACTGGTAAATTAATATGTGCATAAATCACAACATTATAATGTCAAAAATCACTAACGGATTGTTCTTCTAGATACAGAATTAAAGGGTGTGCTCAGGAAAAATTTCTTAAAGCTCCCGTCAAAATATCACTTATTTTTATCAAAATGTTAAGTGATAAAATTTCCTTAAAATTTGCCATGATCCAAGTTATTATCTTGTTGGAAAATCGCTGGCCTGAGCTCCTCCAAATGAAAGACTGTATTTCTGCCATTGGCATGGAAAAGGCATGGAAAAACACAACTTATATGCCCACTGATAGTTGGGCTGATAAAATCATCCTGAACAATGGGTCACACAATCAGCACAGGAAACCTTGCCACAGGAAAAACAGGAAGGCAACAGATATAGCGAAATGTGTGAGAGACACATTGATTCACAATGAATCCAGTTTATCCTGCTTCTATCTGCTTCCTCTCTTCCTGAACCACTCTTTGTGTGTCATTTTGTTTTTTCTCTGTTGTACTGTGATGCAATGATTTCAATTTTTCCTTAATATTATCAACTAAAGATGAAAGAATTATTACATAAAGCCCTTGTAAGAAATAGCCCTACAAACTACTATAAAAAATAACCTCTTCTCCAAATAATGTAGTCTGGACAAACTTAGGTTGATCTTAAATATAATAACCCAAATCAGTACAAAATGAAAACTAATGAAAACCTTTATTTCTTCATTTCTCTTTATCTAAAATTCCCTACGTACTGTATGATACATATTGTATGATTGTAAGTACAATTCATGAGGTATACCTAAGAAAATATGACTACAAGGGTATCATACATTACAGAAAATTAATACAATTACTTAATACAAAGCTGAAGAGGCATCGGGCTGGTAATGCTACATCAGGCATGTACTTTCGCATAAAAATTGCCTTTATGCCTGCCAAAAAGTTTATTCGAAACAAACAGTTTATCCACTTGTGGTAGCAAAAACTTGTGCCAACTCAAATAAAGCAGCGCTTCTTTTTTTCCTGTCTCTATATCCTTTGATTTTTGGATTATGCAAACATAGATGTGACTCGTAGGTCAGAATTAATTCCAGTGTCGAAGCCAAAGGTCCTGCTTGTCTCGCTGGACAGGACCACAAATTTCCAAAGGTAATAATTTTTAAAATAAGAATAAATCGACTCATGTTCTGGAATAATTTTTTGCCTGTTTCCAAGGTTTCTTTTGTGTTATTCTGCACTTATTCTTCATGGTTGTGCCCTTTTTCAATTTGGAGACACAGGGTGTCACATTATGAATGGAACGGAATTGCGAGTATCCCGTGCGTAAGTTGACAACCGTCAAAATGTAGCCTTGTGGCAAGTCCTGCCCGATCTTCGTGTGCAGGACTAAACCCTATAATTGGTCCTGCCCAACAATGGACAAACACCTCGTAGTCCTGTGTCTGGCCCTGCCTCGCAATTGAAGAGAACAATAGCACTCCTGCCCTTCAGAAATGGCCGGACCTCATGTCCTGCTCATTCATGAAGGCAGGACAAAGGTCAAAGGACCTAAAAATTTAGCAGGGGCGTTGTGGCTAGGCGTGACACAAATATGAAAATTAATCAATTAACAGTTTGAACCTTTTGTTCTTTAAAAATTGTTTTATTGCCATGATATGCACTGCAAAGGATATCGTCTACGGGTTGAACATATTCAAGTTATCCATGTTTTTATGGAGATCCCCCACGAACTCCCCTTTTTGTGAAGAAAGAAACGGTACAGCGGACTTAGATAAACAAAGTTGAGCATACCAACATTTCACAAGGTTTATTACTTTGCTTATTACAAATTATACATAATTAATAGTGGTACTTGCTTTTTCCCAATCAAAACTTTCAAAATTATGACAGACTTGTTGATTAGAGGTAGTAAGGAATGGAAAGGCATTTTAATATACTTGGCGTTCCGTGTACATGGCTTTAGATTTCGAATATTACGTCACCACCAAAAATTTACTCCAAGAGCCACCACTGCTACAATTAAACAAAGGAAATTCTATTGCGGGCATTAATCATTGAAGCAAACTAAATCAACCTAAATAGCAATTCACGAATTTAATGCTAGCCACCAGCAAGCTTTTAGTTGATTTAACATGGCAGCACAAATGGTGTCTAGTGCCAATGAATTGACAATGGTATACTATTTTCTTGCCTTCGTTGTTCAACAGTTAATCAAAATGAACACAATTTTCTTATTACTTTCATGTCACATTATAGCAGTTAACGGCGTGCAAATATACCGAGGCAATTGCAGGAAAGAATCTCTATTTAAGATTGGAGGCAGAGGAACTAGACTGGATGCAAACATTATCTCTTCTAAAACGTCATCCAGACTATCCCTGTGTGCTAAATCGTGTATTGATGAAGCAAGTTGCAAAAGCTTCAACTACAATGTGGTTGCATTGATTTGTCAGCTGCTTTCGAAAGACAAAAATGACGTTGGTGCAGAAAAGCTTTTGGCCGTAGAGGGTTGGAATCATTATCAACCAGTCGAGTTCATGGTGAGGCACAGGATAATTTGTTTTCCTTTAATATTCTAATGTTATCTTAATGACTTAAAGCTGTTTATTCACCTCTGATTGTTAAATTAGCTACAAGCATGATTAAAAAATACCACAAAAAGTGTGTTCAAAGCTGAGGTTACTTTTGAAACATCTAATTCAACTATAATGTCGTTCAAATCTTGCCGATTGGCATGCACCAAAGTAACCTTTTGTCTTCCATTCTCTTTTTTACCTCTTTAAGAGCTTTCTTTGGTTGAGATCTGTCAAGGTAGGATACAAAGCGTTCTGCTTAGAGATAGTCACCCCAAGCGAATTCTAATTCTGTTGGGGTTTATAACCTCCTTTTCCGACTTTGGCACTTGCTTGCTAGGTTTAGGAATTTCTTGCAAGTCTTTTGGTAAATCTGCGCCACATACTGAGTATATTGTCTTACCCATGTCTAGCAGTGCAACAAAAATATTGTCATTGCTTTTTCTGTCCGTGTCTTGCTTGGAAAAACCTGTTTTTGAGTCGTGCTTTCAAGTCATGAAACTAAACTGTTAGATTGATACTAATAGATTGATACTAAACTGTTACACGACACTGAAACTCGTGATATCCTGTTATTCTGCTATTTTAGAAAACCTGTAGCTTTTGATATAACCTCATTTATGTATTGAACTGGATTTTATGCAATGATGGAAGAAGAACATGTTACAGCTTACAGCATTGTTTCCTCTCTAGAGTTGCTATAATCAGACTTGCGTTTCCTACGTCATAGTATAATATACATGGGTCGATAAGCTATAATTTAGTTTGAAAGCATATCCAAAGATGGTTCTTCTCCGCCACGATTCCCAACGTACAGAAGTGGATTGAAAACAAAATATCAGTCCTTTACTATATTCATACTACATTCATTCTTTTTGTAAAAAAAGACGCCCGTTGCCTCTTTAGGATACTCCAAGGTGCCGAACAGAAACAAGCTCCGAAATGTGCGCTTTCAACGAAGCATGCGATGAGGTGTGCGAGAATCCGGTTGGCTACAAATGCCGGGCGTTAGGTAAGCTCTCATTTCGTGACGCCATTTTTTGTTTCAACTGGCGCTATGACTTCCCTGAAAATCATCTTTTCAATTGTTTACTTTTCGATTGCTCTTGAGTTATAGTGACTCCAGACTAAAAAGTATCATCTTTAAAAACATCATGATTCCTGAATGATAATGAATGAGAAATATTTTCATAAAGGAAACATAGCCCTTGGGAAGGCAACAGCGCAGGCGTCAACGTGTTCTTATGGTTATTCGCCTAGAGCTGTCGATGGAGACACTCGCACCAGCTGGATCTACGACTCTTGTACACATACCTGTGAGGGGACATCAAATTGGTGGCGTGTGGATTTTGGGAAAAGCTCGTTGGTGCACTCAGTAAAAATTACAAACAGAGGTCAGGCTATTTGGATATTTTCAGGATTTTCAAACGATTCCACAGTTGCTTTAAATGTTGCATCCAAGTGTGATTCTTATTAACTATAGACACCCCCTCCCATGGTCTAGAAAGAAAATAATATGAAAGCAAATTATTATTAAAAGAAGCAAAGGGTGGAAACAATGAAAGGATTAAACTTCTTAAATACTATCAAATAATTTGAATAGATGGGAAATAGCAAGATGTGTTGCACAAGTCCATTTGAGAATAGAAATTTTTTAACCTGCTTATTCCAACCTGGAATATACGCTGTTTCATTTTCGCATGTCATCTGTCAATCTTAGCAATAACTAAAAAAAATAAGAAAATTTTGTTTAAGTGCAACCAGTTTTGGTCAGTAAAGATCATTTAAATGATTGATATACGTTCGTTATTTGATCACGTCATATCTATTTCTCTTAAGGTGATTGCTGCGGTAGCCGCCTTTCAGACTTCAACATCAGAATTGGCAACAGCATGACAGGAAATGGGGGCAATAATCCTGCTTGTGCTGTCAATCAAGGAATTGCACAAGGTGCCACGAAAACATTTCTTTGCAGACCACGTATTTATGGCAGATACCTTTACGTTCAGTCGAACATAACACCAGGTTTGACCCTTTGTGAGGTGCAAGTTTTTGGAGAATAACTAGCACTGGACGTTCTCTCGATGCAGCAGGGACCAGGTAGTTACATTCAAGTAATGTAAAGAGTTCAGTAACGCAAAC